CAACACGGGCAACGTGGTCTGCAACACGAGCTTCACGAATTGTCGGACAGCCGGGTGAAGACGGAGATGGCTGAGGCCGACGTGGCGGAGCTCCAGCAGCTCTTTGACTCCGTGGAGGCCAAGCAGTACAAGCGCCCGGACATGAACGAGGACCTGAGGCTGGGCTTCGCCTCAAACAAAGTGGAAGAATTTGACGGTGGAGCGACGGCACGGAGATGGTTACTCTCGACTACTCTCACCTCACCAGCGTGCTGTGGGGGGTGTGCAAGGGCTTCCAGGCCCGGCTGGACAAGGTGGAAGCCTGCCCCAAAGAAAAAGTAGAAAAAAAAACTCCCCGCGTCCAGGGAACCTTGCTCAAGCTCCTTTTTGGGGCAACAAAGCTGTTTTTTAAATGGGGCTCACAACAGGATTGAAGGAGGCAATCCTGGGGTGACAACAGGATTGAAGGAGGCCTCGCAGCCATTGGCAAAAAAAGCGTGCTGTCCTCCCCCACGGGAGGACTGGGAAGAATGGGGAGGACTGGGAAGAATTCCGTCCCGTGGGGCTGGCTCCGATGCCAGGCAGGTGGCGCGGCCGGATGGAGGCTTCTATGCCGGGCAGGTGGCGCGCCAGGGAGGCTTCTATGCCAGGCGCGGCAGGCACCAACCCGCCGAACCCTTACAGTCCCCCGGGTCCTTGCTATACGTGCTATATGTGCTATATGGGTCTCACAAGGCAAGCCACTGAACATCCACTCTCCCCGGGTCCTTGCTATATGTGCTATATGTGCAATATGTCACAAGGCAACCCACTGAACATCCACTCTCCCCCGGGTCCTTGCTATACGTGCTATATGCGCTATATGGGTCTCACAAGGCAAGCCACTGAACATCCACTCTCCCCGGGTCCTTGCTATATGTGCTATATGTGCAATATGTCACAAGGCAACCCACTGAACATCCACTCTCCCCCGGGTCCTTGCTATACGTGCTATATGTGCTATATGGGTCTCCAAGGCAAGCCACTGAACATCCACTCTCCCCCGGGTCCTTGCTATATGTGCTATATGTGCTATATGGCTCTTACAAGGCAAGCCGCTGAACATCCACTCTCCCCCGGGTCCTTGCTATACGTGCTATATGTGCTATATGGTATAGAAGCCTGTATACATCTCCAACAGTACCAAATATGCATTGTATAGCACATATACATAGGAGGCCCCTCTGGAAGGTCCCTGCAGCAAGCCAACTTTTGGCTACCAGAACCAGCCCCGCCTTTCTCACTGCTTGCGATGTTGATTTCGCTTTTGCCTTTGGGGCCATGGCAACCAAAACAAAGCCTCACTTCCTTTGCTCTCCCAGCTGTGAGCCAGGCAAACCCGCCCCAGCGCATACTTCCAGCAAGACCAGGAACCTTGTTTTGGTGGGTTCATTGTAAAACTGCGCGCGCAGAGAGTTCACTTAGCACCACGCCACAGCGAGAGATTTTGCGCGAGCCTGCGCAGTCCAAACGCACTTCGGCAGCACACAACATCACGATTTTGCGGCAAAACCCACTCCCGCGCAAACTCGGGGGCCTCATTTTGTGCGAGCCAGCGCATTCGAAACGCACTTCAAAGGCTTCGACATCATACAACATCACGATTTTGCGGTAAACACCACGCAAGGTGCTCCCGGACAAACTGGAGGCTGAATTTTGTGCCGCAGGCTGTCACGCACTTTGGCACCGACGTGGTGCAAAACAATATCCACAGCAGCTGGTCTTGTCTCCCAGGCGGCCCCCCGCAGAATCCAGAAAACTGCCACATTGGCCGTTCCGGCGGCGAGGCGGCCCATAGCAAAATCCGAAGCAAGTACTAGCCTGGCTTGCAAGGAACCTTTGCGTTAAGGCATGTTGCACTGCTCCTATCTTGAACCCAAACCAGACCACCCAAAAGAACAAAGCAAGTCCGAAGCGGCCGCAGTTCTTTTAACCGGGATTGCTGAAAGTAGCACTGCTTCCAGGGCACGGATGCGCCTGGAGCAGGAGGTGCGTTGACCCCCTTTCAAAAGAAACAGATCCAGTTTGGGTCAAGGCTAGGAGCAAAACGGCCACCGCGGAAGTAGATTCACAACACGCCCTAAACACAAGGGAAAAGAAAACCCTAAGCGGCCGAAGGGAAGCAAAACTGACGTATGCCAGCTTCGTGGCTGAAAAAGCCAAAAACTGGCGCTTGCGGCTTTCGCTGTGGCTGAAGGGCATCAAATCTGGACGCCTGCGGCCTTGGTGTGGCTGAAGGGAAGCAAATCTTGGTGGGAACTGGCGCCTGCAGCCTTCGGCGTGGCTGAAGGGAAACACAGGGAACTGGCGCTTGCAAGGACCTGGTGGAACTGCCCGAAACTGAACTGCAGGGGCCCTACCAACTCTGCAGCCAACTGGGGGTGCAAAGGTGCAAACGCAAAAGCGTAGAAAAGAAAAATTTCTTCTTCTTTTTCCACCCTTTCAAGTTTGCACCTTTGCACCTCCGATTTTCTGCAATGTACCCGGCTGCCTAAAGGGCTTGGAAGGAAGCAAATCTTAACAGACCTGGCGTTTGCTTCTGAAGGGGTGGCTGAAGGGAAGCAAATCTCCGGGAACTGGCGCCTGCTTCTCAGCCCAAGGCTGACGCCACCAGTTCCTGCCCAGATTTGCTTCCCTTCAGCTACGGCTGAAGCCAGCAGTTCCTGCCCAGATTTGCTTCCCTTCGGCTGCGGCTCAAGCCGCCAGATCCTGTCCAGATTCGCTTGCCTTCAGGCACGGCTGAAGGTAGCAGTTCGTGCCCAAAAATTTTTTGCTGCGGCTAAAGGCAGTAGTTCCTGCCCAGATTTGCTTCCCTTCAGCTACGGCTGAAGCCGCCAGATCCTGTCCAGATTTGCTTGCCTTCAGGCACGGCTGAAGGTAGCAGTTCGTGCCCAAAAATTTTTTGCTGCGGCTAAAGGCAGTAGTTCCTGCCCAGATTTGCTTCCCTTCAGCTATGGCTGAAGCAGCCAGATCCTGTCCAGATTCGCTTGCCTTCAGGTATGGCTGACGGTAGCAGTTCCTGCCCAGATTTGCTTGCCTTCAGGTACGTCCGGATTTGCTTCCTTTCAGCTACGGCTGAAGCCACTAGTTCCTGTCCAGATTTGCTTCCTTTCGGCCGGCCGCAGCCACCAGTTTCCATCCACATGTTTCCCTTCAACCGTGCCGGTTCCTTCAAGAAATGTTTCCCTTCAGCCACGCCAGGCCCACGGGCCAGTTCCCACCAGTTCCTGTCTAGGTTTGCTGCCCTTCAGCCACACCAAAAGTCCCAGTTCCTGTCTAGATTTGCGTCCCTTCAGGCCACCAGCCGCCAGTTTCCCTTCAACCACGCCAAGGCTGCAAATCTGAAGAAAAAACAGCTGTCACCCGCATGCCTGCTAGCTCCCAGCCGTCAATCCCACCAGCAGCACAAATAGTGCCCCAAACAGCACCCTCACCAGCACCGCCAACTGCAAACCAGGCCATTCTGGGCCAAAACAAAAACTGAGGTTTCAACACATATTTCCAAACGGTTTCTCCCCAAAACAAACTAAGCAAAGGGGTTCCTCAAACGTGCGATAAAAGGCAACGCGTTTCCGCACACACTTGGCCTTCAATGACCACGCAGCCAAAAAACTAAAATCGATCACAGTAGCGAGATCCCTCGCGACGCACACAAACACGCAGTCACACACAAATGGCCGTAAACGGCCACACAACCAAGACCCAAAAGTTTTAACAAGCAACATCTGTCGGGCCCGGGGGGGAATCTGCAGCTCTGCAGCGTCCAAACGCGGAAAAAAAAACATTTCTCGAACAATCCCCTCCGGCAATAAGACCTGAATTGCAAACTCCAAGGTCTGCTGTTCTGCCACCAGTGCTTTTGCCGCTGATTTTCCAATTCCGGTTCTGCGTGCACCATTAGGGTTTGCTGTCCTTCAAAACAACCATAAATTATTCAAAGTGCAGTATCCGCAATTGGCTACTGCACCACTGCAACGCCAGCAGCGATTGGAGGTCAGGCTTGATTGCTCCAAAACACTCCGTTCACCTGCCAGAGCTTGTTGACCAACTGCGCAGCATGAGCCGTGACATCGACTGCCACCAGTGCTTTTGCCGCTGATTTTCCAATTCCGGTTCTGCGTGCACCATTAGGGTTTGCTGTCCTTCAAAACAACCATAAATTGTTCAAAGTGCAGTATCCGCAATTGGCTGCTGCACAACTGCAACGCCAGCAGCGATTGGAGGTCAGGCTTGATTGCTCCAAAACACTCCGTTCACCTGCCAGAGCTTGTTGACCAACTGCGCAGCATGAGCCGTGACATCGACAAGTTGTTCAAGCGCAGTCTCCGTAAATGGCTACTGCACAGAAGAATGATTGGCGGTCAGGCTTGCTTGTTCCAAAACATTCCATTCACCTGCGAGAGCTTGTTGACCAACTGCTCAGCATGAGGCGTGACATTGCCACTGGGCTCCAAGAATAGGACACCACCGATAATGCAACACGCTCTCAGCAAGGCACTTTGAATGCGGTTGAAATTCGACAGACGTCAAAGAATTTGCATGTAATTGAAATCGCGCTCTTTCAGGCGCACATCGCCCACATCAAACAAATGTGTCCTGTGGCAGATATGGATGAACATGTCACAAAGACTGCCCCACTTTCATTTGCGTCATGTTCTTCATTTGAACAGAAGGGATTCTCAAGCTCTTGCGCACGCACACACGAGCACGCGCGCGCCACGCACGCAAGCACACCACGCACACGCGCAAGCACACGCGCAAGCACACGCGCTCTCACGCAGCCGAAAGCAAAAAGAGTAGAGCCAAAAAACATGGCAAACAAAAGGAAGCATTATCCCTGGTGCAGTCGTTGGAACGCTTGAGCGAAATTACAAGTCAGGGCAAAAACCCTGAAACAAAAGAGAGACCTGCTCCAGATCTCAAACTTCAAGAAAAGGAGGGTGTCTCACACCCACAAACCGGTCAGCGAGTAAGCCGAAGGCTCACAGGAAACAGGCCCTAGTGCCACACAACAAAAAGGGAATTCCAAAACAACTAATTACGAAGCTCATCACTCGTGTAAACACCACAACCAAGCAACGCCTCAAACCAAGAAGCCTCACAGTCAAACCCGAACACGCTTGGAGCAAGGCCAGTGACAACAACAGCATGGCTGGGCGCCGCACTCCATTTACAGTGGAAGCTTGCCTCACACCTGCCAACGGCAGCAAAGCATGGACACGCTCCACGACGCCATGTTGCAACTGACCCGCGCAGGCCAACCACTGCGGCACTTTTTTCCATTTGGGCGTACTTGCCTCAGATCCGGCACGCCCTATCCTACCTACGCAGACGGCTGCTTCCGCTTCAGAGGAGTGACTGCCAAAGGCCCGCGCCGGGATGGCCACTTCCTCACCCTTGTTCTCGCGCGCTGGACCTTGAAACGCAAGAGCAATTGCTTCATCCCCTGCAGACCCCGCTGGCTCTGGCGAAGGTGGAGGCGGGTAAGGGGGAGTGAAAGGCGCACTTGGAAGAACTTCATCTTCTGCATCCCCCATGTTGGCGACTGGCTCTGGCGAAGGTGGAGGCAGACCAGGCGGAGTGAAAGGGACAGGCAGAGAATGCTCCCTGGCAGCAGGAGCATCGATCACGGCTTCCATCACTTGTGCGGGCATTGCCACCCAAGCCATGGCGTTCTCCATGGCCCGTACCTCATCATCAACTCCGACGTTCTCCTCAATATACCTTGCGCAATGCTCCTCAATCCACCGGGCATAACACCCAATACAACCATAGCACAGCTTGAGCATGGGGTCCCGCATGCTGCTGGGCAATGGCACGCGCAGGTGCCAGCGCAAGCCAAACCTATTGTTGAAGGCCAGTCGTTCTGCTTCATCAGGCTCGCCCTTGGCCGTCTTTGGCACTACTTTGCCCTGGCTGGTGATGATGAATGGTGGAGGATGGTGCACAATTACTGGAGCTCCGCCCTTCACAGCTGCTGACACGCTTTCGCCCTCCAGCAACAGCAGCAAGGTATCCCATGGGATGGGGCTGGTCGCAAGCCTCCAATCCTGCCACACCCCCACAAGGTGTTGCTCCAGTCCTTGCAACGGAAAGGTGTCGCCACGGTTTGGTCGGAGAAAAGTCCGATCGCCAAAGATGTGAATCAGTGGCCGTGTCAGCCCAGTCTTTCCGGCATTGCTCTCGCCGTAAAGAAACACGTTGCAGTTCTTAGCCGCAGTGCGGTCTTTTTGGCGATGGTCCATCAGAGAGCTCAAGGCTTGCGACAAGCGCTGCGGCGTAGGGCAAGCGCAGGGAGCCTGCACTGCTGCGTTCCACACCTGCAATCGCTTCTCCCGCTGCAGGTAGTCAGACATGGGTTTGGCCATCAGGGCCTGCCAGCTGCCAAACAAAGCAGGCATTTTCGGCCCCTGACGCGCCATGAACTGCTCAAACCGGGGGTCACCACGGCGCCGCTGTTCCTGCGCCCAAGCCACCAGATCTTGGTACGAGGAAATTCGGGCACCTAGCCTTCTGATGGTGTTGTACATGTCGCTTGGGCGAAACGCTGTTTGGAAGAACTTCTTCATGCGTGTTTCCATCTCGGTCAATGGGAATCGCGACGAAAAGTACGGGTCCGGGTCCAGATCCGCCTGACAGGGCGGGCAAGTTTCAGAGAAGGCAAACATGCGCCTGGCCCTTGCGAAGCGAAGGGGCCACAAGGTACCGGAGGCAACGCCAGAAGTCCGCGTTCAGCTGCGGCAAAGCCAAATGGCCGAAGAAGCCACGCCCCCGCAACTTAACTGCAAGCAGCTTCCATTTCACACGGCGGGTGAGCTTCAGGATGGCGTGCCAATGCATCCTCCGTTCCCAGCCACGTCGGGAACTGGGGTGGGTTTCGGTGACAATGCAATAGTGGGCCAAGGAGTCGCCATACACCTCCTTCAACGCACGAGCAAACACTTTCTTGCTGCTCGAAGTTGCAGTGATGGCCTCGGCCTTGTCAGAGTGCGGAACTGTCCAAAAGTGCACGGTGGAGCCTGCATACTTGAGCTGACGGGTGGCAGACCTCAAGTCGGGGAACTTGTCAATGGCATCTCCCTGACCTTCGCCCTCCTCTTCAGAGCTGTCTGCTTCTGAAAACAGGTCGTCAGGTTCAGGCTCCACATCTCTGCTTGCGCTGGACGAGTCGCAAGAGTCCGAGGATGACGAAGTACTTGAAGAAGAAGCAGAAGAAGCAGCCGATTCGGCGGCCTGCGCGGAAGAGACACAATCAGGAGGCTTCGCTCCCTTCACCCTAACTTCTGAATCGGCCTTGCTCCCCCATGGCCCCCACAAAATAACAATAATAACGTTGCGTAAGATCAGGCGCCTGTGCGCTGAGCATCTTTGTTTTGGTGGGGGCAGTTGCCCCGCCTGATGCGCGTCTGCCATGGTACCGCTACAGTTGACGCAGGGCAGCTACCAATAGCGGCTGCCCCTCGAGCAAAACTACACGAGCGCACGGACACATACGTGACGCTTGAAGGACAACTCAAGTTGTGGCACACAGCAGCGCAAACAGTAGCGCACCCGTGCCTGGGCGTTGGGCCTGCGGAGGCTAAGGGCGGCCTCTTCACGGCAAGAAAAGCTGCGCGGAACGGGCGCGAAAAAAGCACGCGCTTGGGGGCGCCGCTTCCTGCTTGTGCTCCTGCTGTTTCTACAAGGCGTTTGCGCTTTGACAGCTCCAGCTTAAAAATCGGAACCGTTCAGCACAAGTGTGGCATGCGAAGGACACGTGTACGGGCTTTTGCGCCCCGTGAACAACAAGCATTGCCATCGCAAAAAAGAAAGCCTGACACGCCCAAGACGCTCACGCCACGTAAAACAAGCTTTGTGTAAAAACGTTTGCTCTCTCTCTCTCTCTAAGGTATCTGATGTTCACAAATACATGCAGAGGCAGCAACAACAAGCAAACCAGCTGCAGAAAGTGTTTTTGCCACACGCAACACGCAACACACACACACACACTTAGACTCCAGATGGAGGGTTCTAATCTTTCGAGTACAACTGGTAAGTCTCGGCTTGGATAAGGTTCTGCATGAATAAGTTTCGGCTCGCAATGCACTCGGTTTCCCTCTAGTGTCGAAGTCGTTACAAGGTTCAACATGAAGCACACACAGCGAGAGAAACAACGGGGAAAAAAGAGTTTGCACAACCATTGCAGGCACACAGCTGGACGTCTCCAACTGCTTCACCAGGGTCACAAGAGTGTCTTCGTTGGTGGCAGACTCTCGGCCCTGCTGCCACCCCCTGCAGTGGGAAAAAGTTATTGTATGGTGGCAGGGTTTTCTGCCACTCCGCACACACACACACAGACACACGCACGCACGCACGCACGCACGCACACACACACACACACACACACGCACACACACACACACACGCACGCACACGCACACGCACACGCACACGCACACGCACACGCACACGCACACACACACACACACACACGCACACGCACACACACACGCACACGCACACGCACACCCACACACACAACACACACAGACAGAAAACAACACACACACACACACAAACACGCACAAGACACACACACACCAGCAGGTTGGATCACGCTGGCCAGCAGCATTGCCAACTTTTTCCAACGCCTTGATTGCATCAGTTTGCTTGAAACACTGGCGTCTGCAGACGCGCCGCATTGTTGCAAGCTGGCCGCCTGCCGCCAAAAAAAACACAACTTACCTGCATCAAGAAGGAAGCAAAAGATTGGAGGGCTTGTAGGCGCACACAAAACGCCTGCCTCGGCAGCGTCCACTGCCTCGAGTCTTGCGAGCTCAGGCGTTTTGACGGCCTGAAACACTGGTGCGTGCAAATGCGCCGCGCTGTTGCGTGGACACTGCGCGCGCAAGCCTGCGCAAGTTAAGGCTCATCTGCGGCTGCCTGCCGCCGCGTCGCATCGGCCAAATCCCGAAACATTCTCCATGCGCCAAACATCTTAAGAGCTTAAAGGTCCATGCAAGGCCCCTGCCTCAGCAGCTTCTGCTGCCTCAAGAAGCAGGCGGAGGTCTTGAGAGCTCAAGTGCTTCGCAGCCTGCCAAAGTTGCAATAAGCTGTAAGAGCACCCCTGGCCCAGCCTTCATCAAACGAGCGCGACGCTTCAGAGCAGTCTTCTCTTTCTTCCGAGCTTCCTTGGCCGCGAGCCGCGCAGTCTCCTTCTGCGCCGCAAGCTCTTGAAGCTGGCGATGCAAAAGAGCCTCCACAAGAGACACACCACAAGCATGTGGAGCGGCAGCCAGTGCGGGCCAGGTTTTTGGGTCCAAACTGCGGCTTTTTTTCACTACCGGCCGTTAGGGGCCTTCACAGTTGTGGCTGACAAGCCCTTCAGGCGAGCTCAAAGCCGGCAATCGCTTTGTGACATTGGCTGCCAAGACTTTGTCTTCCCCATCCCAGTACAAGTAGGCCCGAACATCTAGTTTGATGTTCCTCGGAAAAATAGCAGCTGCCTCATCCAGCCGCGGCAGTTCGAGCGGAAGCTGCAAGGGCGGCGTAAAGCCTAGCTTTTGCAAAAGCACCTGGCACACAAACCGCTGCCGGTCGGTCACGCCAGCTCTTTGAAAAGCAGCTGCCCAAGTGGACGCACAAAGCACACGCCCAATTGCAGCCAGTAGCACCCGCAACAAGCGCTCCATATTGGCTGAGCAAGAATCCTCCAGCGTCTCACGCCAGAGCTCTTGGAATGAGCGCTTCAGCACGCTGAAAACCACCAGGTCCAAAGGTTGGAGATGCATCGTCATGAGCGCTGGCACAAACTGAAGCTTGATCTGGCACACTTGCGCTTGATGCAAGATGTCGGGATGGACATGTTGTCTTGCAGTGTCCACCAAAAGGACCAAAGTTCTGTCACCGATGTGGCCTGCGAAGGCGTCCCTGAGCATACCAATGTACACGCACATTCCCTGCGCCGAATTCCAGGCACTCTTCTGGCGAAGTATAACAACATTGGGCGGCAAAGGCTCTAGCGACGCCAGCACCTTCTTGGTCAACTGCTTCTCGCTTGCCAAAATGAGTTGTGGAAGATGGCTTTGCAACCTTGCGTCGGAAGATATGGAAGCCAAGAGCGAAATCCGCGCGCGCCGCTGCGACAGAGTAGCGTGCTCCACGCATGTGTGTGATCTATCAGCCATGACTGTTCCAACAAGACTGTGTGGATAGCCAACACTGGTCTCGTCCATGTTGACAAAAACCGCCTCTTTTCCAACATCAGCCGCGCAAGCGACCGTGTAGTTGCACCACTTCCAAAACGCCACTGCCTTTGACGGAAGAGCACTTACGCGGGGCTCGGAAAACATCTTCGAAACAAGCCCAGAAATTGAAGCAAGGGGGCCAAAATCAAGCACCACAAGAAGCAAGCGCTCTGGCCAATGAAGCAGCGGCCAACTTTTGAAGAAGGACCCCTGCAAGCTGGTTTTGGGGGGTTGTTTCAAGACCCATTTTCCGGGCCCTGGTTTGTAGGCCTTCAAGAAACACCCAGGCACTGGTTTGGCGCTCGAAGTTTGAAAACTTCTGGCCTTCTGCCGCATCTCCTCCTGCGGGACAACATGTTGCAAGCGCAATCTGCCCAGGCGAGCCCGCCATGTTGCGCGAAAGCGGGAGAACCACTTGCGCTGCTGCCGAGCGTTTCCGCGCAGCCGGCGTGTGAGGCTTTGCCGCAACTCCT